GTCTATAATATACAAGCCGCGCAAGCCATTACCGAACGACATCGATTACGTTTGCTCAACAGCGCTGGCGGGAGCGGCGGTGGTGGTGGTGGTGGTGGTGGTGGTGGTAGTGGTGGTGGTGGCAGCAATAACAACCATTTACCGGAATTTATAAAACCCGCCGCGGCTGCAGTTGCTGCAGCTGCAGCATTAGCGGCCGTACCTTCCTCGAATCAGATTAGCCATCCAATGGTATTTCCCTCGAATCGTGTGCATTTCCCAAAGACAAGTCGTCGATTGCCACAGGTATGTATCTATTGAAATAGAATTTATCCTAATGCTAGATATTGTTTTTTTCGATTCTTGCTTTTGTAAATTTTTGTTTTGTAATGTTTAGTTTTCTTAATAATCCGAATTATTTTCTCATTCGGTTGCAGGCGCTCATCATCGGCGTGCGGAAATGTGGCACTCGCGCACTTCTGGAAATGCTTTATCTACATCCTCGCATACAAAAGGCCGGCGGCGAAGTGCATTTCTTTGATCGTGACGAGAACTATCTGAAAGGACTGGAATGGTATCGCAAAAAAATGCCGCACTCATTTCGTGGTCAAATTACGATCGAGAAGAGTCCGAGTTACTTTGTGTCACCAGAGGTAAGATAGTATTTGGGATGAAATATATTTTTTAAAATTTGTATACTTTCCTTTACATACGTATGTAAGCGGTAGACAGGGGCAGTATTGATGGCTGATTGGATAGATCTGCAAAGCATTATTTAGTGGATAAGAACGAGGTTCGATTTATGGTCTGAGCTTTTTTCTAAAACGATATTTTCTAGGCTGGAAATGGCAAATGTACAAATTTAATTTTGCCAAAAAAAAACCCTTTCATAAGAACCATCTGTCGTTTGGAACTGAGGTTCTGCCCTTCGAGTCAAAAAAATATCAAGACGCTCGACGAAAATTTAAAAAAAGTTAGCTAAAAAAATTTTCTTATTCTAATTTTTTCTATTAGATTACGTTAGGTTCCGGTCGGCGTCACCCGTTGTGGATCTACTGGGATATTATACAGGTTGTCCTCTTGGTTCCATGTGTGTTTTAACGCTGACCAGATATCATGTTCAGTCTCTCCGCGGAATTCTGGTCGGATAGCGTCCTTTCAGAATCCCCCATAAGAATTGAACAAAAATTGCTTTGCAAGCATGCAAAACATCGTTGAATTGTCCCGACCTATCTTAAACCAGAAAGACCTTATAAATGCACATGCCTTAGTTCTTACCCAAATTCGAACTGTTCAAGAATGAAACCCACATTGTCATTGGCACTCGCAGCTGCTTCCTGGCTGATGATATTCTTTCAAGGTTACCATCCTCGTTAATTCGTCAGTCATCCAGTTACCGAAGTGTTACCGTGACCTAGTGATAAATATAGTGTTACAGGTATTTTTTATTATAAACACATGAAATAATGACAACCAACAACTCATTGATATTGGTGACGGATAAGGCGTTAAAAAGACAAAAGATCCTTGCGTGCCGTAAAAATGGCTTCGAGGAGGCTGCCTCGCCCAAAATCTCGAGACAAATTGGAAAATTCTGCTTCGCTCAATACCGGTTCCAGCAAAGCCAATATATCGGCGATTGAGTCATAAAATAGGTCTGTACGGTCTTTGGAGTTAGATTTTCAGTCTTCTACAATCAAGACTGCTGTGAACAAACTGCATGAGGGTAGTTCAACAACGGCTAGAATTAAGGGGAATTTGGCACAAATAGGTGCAGTTATGGTGAAACAGTTGTTAGATCTGATACCCAATGCTGCAACAATACGACAGCCACCAAACGAGCAGTTGCGGTACTAGACCTCCATTTTAGCTATTCTAAGGTGGAAGGAAGTTCGCCAAGGAGGGGGGCGCAACGACAACAAAGACCCAGAATTTTCGATAGGTTTGAAGAAGTTTCAAAAAATGAGCAGCAGGTGGTGCTGTTTAGGCTGGTAGGTCAAAAGCATCTAACTGAAGACCAGAAATGGAAAGAAAGCGCTTACACAAAGAAACTCTGAATAAAACCCTAAGATCCCTCTAATATCAATTTAATATCTTGTGCTAATCAGAGCTCGCGTAGAGTACACAAGGACCAAGTGCCTTTCGGACCCTACAAGTTCTTATTGGCATTCCTATAATTAAAGTATGTATCAACATAGTGTAATGCATTATTTTTTCTTCTATTACATAAAGGCCTTTAATAAAAGCGATAGTTCAAACAATAAGCAATAAAGTTTGCTAATTAATATTTTGTTAATCATCTGATTCCGGCATTTTATTTAATTCCGCTTTGATAGACATTCCCAGTTCGGCAATTATTTTTATTGATTCTGCACCGGAATTTTCCATACTTTTCTTTGTCTCCCGACTGAAATATTTGCTGAGTTGTTGCCGCTTTAGTGCACCTAATTTATTTATAAAGTTATTTAGTTTCGTATTTGAGAAATGGAACGGCAAACTTTTTCTCGTTATTTTTCCATACTTTTATTTTGCTTATTCCTCGTTTTAAAAACTTAGGGAAGATTTTAATTAGTTCGAAGTTGTTCTTAATCACAAACTAATGTTTCCTTTTATTTATGATTTCTTGTGCCGTTTTCAATCAAAATTCACTAGATAGGTAATATCGCGCAATGACTTTTGATTCCACATGTATTCTGAAAAATGATACAGGCAGCAGTAAGGTAGAAAACGAAGAAGATTTATAGTAAAATGTTTAAGATTTTTTCTTTAATGGAAATTGTAAATGTACTCATACATTCATCCGATTAATTTGACAGCTATTAATTGAAACTCGTTTCAAAATAAGATTCTCATGCTGACATTCGGTCGAAAACACCAACAACTTAAAAACATTCAATATTTATTGAATTTAAAAGCAACTGATATCTTAATATGTAAAAAATCTAAATAGCTCACTAAATTCATATTTCGGAGACTTTAGGACTGCAGGGGAATTTGGTGGTGAAGCTATCTGCATTACCTACTCGCACCCTTGTTATGCATATATGTACATATGTATGTATATGCCGTTTCGCCATCACTCTAAAAAGCACTGTGTCATCCGCCAGCCCGCCATATCATCTATCCAAGGAGTTAGCGCGAGAGAAATACTCGAAGATAAAAGGATAGCGAATATTGTGTGTCCTGTCATGAAATCTCTGTTAACCTTAAGTTTAGGCTCTGCAAAGTGTTTCAAGCGAAGGTGAATGTGATAACACAGGTAGCTGACTACATTAATATATTCTTAACCCTCTTCTTTTTTGACAGCCATACTGCAATATTTGCTTTGTCGTATCATTTTAATTAAACTGGAATTTTCAAACAGGTAGCAACTCTATATTTTTTTCCCTTCTATATTTTAAGTTAGACTGCTAGCTACTTCGGTGAAACCGGCTTTCAATTTCATGCATTAGTGTTCGAGTTATGGGTGTACAATAGGGTGGTCCAAAAGGGTAACGTTGGAATTTTGGTGCTTTCACCCCCCAGGATTGTTCTAGGTCCAAAAAATATGCCCCTATTTTTTGTTTTGAAATCAAAAAATATTTAAAGGACGCTCAAAGCGCTCAAAGTTCGCCATGTATTTTACATGGGGGGAAAAAACTTTTCAATGGTATGGAATTCTTGAAAATCAATATTTTTCGATCGTAAAACTTTGGCTCTCTTCAAGAGACTTCCTCCCACCCATTTTTTAATACTAACGTTTGTATAGGTGCCTCCATTGTATTTTTTGGGGTTTTTGGAAGTTTTTGGCAGACCTATAAATTATAGTTACTATGAAAAAATTGTTTAATAAACAAATTTTATTATTAAAAGGAATACCCTGCAGAGAAGCAGAGTTTTCCGATAGAAAAATATTAATTTTAAAGAATTTTTACGAAGTTGTTTTTTTTCAAAATAAAAAAATGGGGGTATATTTTTTTCGGTACAGAACAATCTTAGGGGGTGAGATCATAAAAATTCCGACTTTACTTTTTCTCGTCCATTTTTGCACCAGCCTAGTGTACAACCATATAGACAGACATACAGAAATTCTAAAAAATTTAGATTTGGCTTCTATAAGATACTCTAATAAAGACCCCCCATATAAATTTTTCTTTAATATCTATAAAGTACAGACAGCGGTCTGTTACAATTTTATTATATGTATAGGAAATAGAAATGGCATCAGGCTACTTTCTGTACCTAAATGATCACAACTCGATTTCGATTCCACTTGCACCGACTAGGTGTGATCAACAGAGTCGGAAGATGATGAAACTTCAGAGCAAATTTTCTGTCCCTGTCCGGCTTTGGTCAGACAAAGATTGATCCGCTTAAAGGCTTCAATGGTCAAACCCTTTGGGCCACACTGGATTAGGGACACTTTCTCCTTCTGCCTTATCTCTCCGCCATTCGGCGGCAGCTTGAAAATCCAATCATTAGCCTAGTAAATAGTTCTGCTATGTAGGCTCCGATGTATACCCTGTTTTGCGTGAACGTCAACTTATTCGTTTCCATCAAAACATTCGTGTCCCGGGACCAACCAAAGATTTACCATTACCCTGCTATGCGTGCTTTATTAAAAGACTAATTGTTGTCCACAAGTCTTGATGTTGCCTCACTATCTGACATGATATTTATCCTGGACCATTTGTCGAAATTAAATAGTACTTTAGTTCATTTAGTCCACGAACTGCCTAAGCCTAATATGCATACATTTTTTTTTTTGGTAAACCTGTTTAATTTAAATTTTCAGCAACATGTTGACAAATATGGCATATCTTTTCATACATAATTTTTTTTCCAGCCACTATAAAGTTATTTGTTGTGCCTTGTAGTAGGTAACTTAAATGCTCACTATCT